GGAAGAGATACAATCTCAGGGGATCACAGGCTAGTCCCAGGTCCCAAGACTGGATAAATTGGAGGGTTGCATCAGGAAAAGCATCCGATGTAGAATTTGTGCCAAATCAGATATGCTGATTCATCCACCGTGGTGAACCACTGGGATTAAACTTGGGAACAGGAGTGAAGTCAGCCCTCTGAAACAGCTGTATGCATGAGAAACACAAATATGTAGGCTTTAGTGTTAAGAAGTTAATCTGACAGATCTTCGTTTGTTACTGATTTCTGCCTGTTTCAGTGATAGCTCCGATTTTAATTGGTAGTTGTATATTCAAAAATTCAGACTGCTTCTTCTGTGTCTTTTTAATCTTTTTTTCTTACATACTCACCAGATCCAGTTCCACGTAACCATCGGCCACGCCGGCCACTCCCTCTACACCGGCTGTCCGTTCCCCTGCTGGATGCAGTGGGCTCTGATTGGCTACGCCGTCACCTTTATCATCCTCTTCGCCAACTTCTACTACCACGCTTATCGACGCAAGCCTGCCTTTTCTCGGAAAGGAGGGAAGCCCATAACAAACGGCTCCTCTGTGGTGGCTAACGGTCATAGCAAAGTGGAGGAAGAGGAGGAGGACGATGAGGAGGACAACGGAAAGAGGCAAAAGAAAGGAAGACCGAAAAGGGAGTAAAGCAGGAAACGGGGCTTGCTTTGCGAAAAGCAGACAGTTATTTTATGGGCCAGAGAAAGAGGGAGGGGAGGGGAGGGGAGGGATAAACAGAGTTCAAACCAGACGATCATCCCTGCAAATAAAGTGGATGGATGTGATTAGGGACCAACTTGATGAAGTGAATGGTTAGCAGTGTGTGTTCACTGGGTGTGTCTGTAAATGGTTCTGGTTTTGAGGGGACGAGAGTGTCGGTTGTCTCCATGACAGCTTTCTTTTGTAATTAAATCCAGATAAGAAAAGAAAATTGCTGTTCGTGTAGGCCCACCCCCCCGTTCCTCTGTCCAGCTCTGTTTTGGACCATAGTAGGACCAAAATATTAAAGGAACCGCATCCTGCTCAGCATCCACTTACTTTCAACTGGAATCCACCTCCAACTTTTGTACTCTGGATTCCAGTACTGTTTAAAAGCTTAATAGTGTTTAATAAGCTAAATTAATTTATTTTCTAGTGCTTTCAATGAGTATCAATTCATTTAAACTGTTAACAAGGGGAAAAAACATTCAAAACTCTGATTTTTCTTTTTTTTTTCTTTTTTGGTTTGGGGGGTAATCATTGTTTACAAATACTTAGTTTACCTTAACATGGCCAGCAAAGAAACAAAAAAACATGTCTCTACATTATCTGCCATCAACTCTTTGCAGTCACCTGCACCATCTACCAGACTTCAAATTTCACTGTCTTCTCTGACTTTATTTACCTGTGCTGCACTTACAGAGTGATACACTATTTTCTTTATGTGCTTTGTGGATTAAAAACCTGGTTTTAAATACTTTTGAGGGGGGCGGTGAAATTGTAGGTTTTTTTTATAGAGTCAACGCTAATTTATGATTATCTTTGTTATAATACACATTTCTGTGGGTCGTTCTTTCTTTTTGCTGTGCAATGTAGCTGAGGTGCAAGAATAAGAGATTGATGTACAGCTCAGTATTGTCTCACTGCCACGTAGAACGGACGGGGAAAGTCGTCTTGAGAAGAGCTTCGTCTTTTTTTTTTTTAAGGAAAAGGATTGTCTTATTAAAACAGAAGTGACACAGCTTTCCCTGGCTGCACATATAACTGAAATAAAGACAATGTCAGCACCCCATAGGTTGTGTTTGTGTGTCTTTGTGCTAGTTTTGGCATTAGCGTCTGTGCATTCAGCTGCAAATCATCTGCTAAACTACCAGAAGTTAGTCTTCCCATCCTCCAACTTTCTCCCTTTGTCCTACTTACTTCATCTCTCCTATTTCCATCTGTACAATGGAAAGAGCTCTTATAGGTGAGTGTGTGTGACAGAGAGAGAGATAGGCAGAGGTAGGATGTGTGTTTGGCCTGCTCAGACAGATCTGCCCTAATCTTTGGGGGCAAATTGGCTTTAGCTCCAAAAGAGCTTATTTCCACGTCACTCCATAGGTTACTCAGGAAAGCGGGTCACTGAAAGAGAAGCCTTCACTAATCTGCCACCAGGTTGCTACTGCAACTCTCAAACTGCGTGGATTAGTTCATATTTGGCCTTGAAAATAGTTGATTTACAATGTGAACCATGTGTATTTAACAACTTCAAGATATTTGAAAAGAAATAGTAAATTCATCAGCCTGAATTATAACTCTGCCATTCTTGTGACACTGCATGATCTTTCCACACACTCACATTAATTTTTTTCATCATCCTGTAACAAGCAAACTACAGCCCACTCTTCTTTGGCCACACCATGAGTCACTAATGGCATCTATTCAATTATTTAGCCCCTATCATTTTCCTCGTCCATGCCTTTTCCTGTGTCCCGCAGCCTCTGCTCATTCTCAGGCCGTCATTTGTGGCTGCATGTCTGGAAAGTCAATTGCAATTCTTTTGCATCCTTTGTTGTATTTTTGCAAGTTCTCTTTATTTCCTCACATAATTTTCCCACATTCTTATCCCTCCTTCCTAGCATACATGCCCTACTCCTAAACTCCTACTTTCTTATAATGGTACACCTGTGGCTATTTTTATCTTTTTTTTTTCCACCGATGGCGTTAGCATGGAGGTAGAAGGAGGTGGAAGGTTGTAGATGTGAATGATAGATCGGGTGAGATGAGTGAGAGGAAGTAAATTTGTCCTCCTTGGGGACACAGAAGGATCTAAGCCAGCGACTAATAGGATTGCAGAATTGCCAAGGCTTTTCTATCAAAGGCATTTAGCACAGGACACTATAACCTGCATGCTTGCTGCTGTTGCTGCAGGAAGCAGAAAAAACATGTATGCACATGCATAAAATTGACCACTATTGCTACAGTTTGATGTGGAACTTAAAACATATGCATTCATAAAAACACACTGCTGCTTCCTGAATGTCTTCTTTCCTTTTGTGGCACACACAAACCTTTACACAAAGACAATAGAAGTTGTAGCTGGGAGACCCAAGTGGGCCAGTTTGCTGGAAGGGTGAAGGGTCAGTTTTCCGAAGGGGGGTTAAATCCTTGCAAACCTGACCTGGGTCTTACTCATCTCATTAGCAATTATATTACTAAGGAGCTCATTCTAGCTGAACAGAGAGTGGAAACAGTCAGCGTTTTACTGGCTCTCTCGCTTTATCTGTGAGGCAGATTACCCTCTGGGCTTCTGCATAGGCAGTTTTGTGTATGTAGAGCACCCTCTGTTGGGCCACGGTTATATTTCTTGATTACTTAGAGGTGAGAGGATGAGCCCAATGATACAAACCTGTTAAAAATGCAAATATATGTCTGTCCCGTTTGTAGCATGTCTGTCCCGTTTGTAACATGTCTGTCCCGTTTGTACCATGTCTGTCCCGTTTGTAGCAACTGAAAATAAAATAAATTCATAATTATAATAAAGGTCAATCAAATGGACCAATATGGCAAGGCCATGATGATCCACTTGGTAAAATAAATCCGCTTGGCATCTTTCTTGGCCTTAAGACAACAATTCTGATGGCCAAAGATCCAAACGGGACACAAAAAAAAAAAAAAAAAATGCAAATATAAACCAAATAAAATGCTGTGCAAGGAAGTTAAACTTCAATTCAGAACAGTTTAAAACCAGTGAGAGAGTAAAATGCACAGCAGTGCGGTTAATTTTCAGCAATTCAGGAACCTAATTGGATATTATAAAAAATGGAATAGAATGAAGGTCTGTGTAAGGGCAAACAGTTTAATAGCTACATAATACTGCTTTTCAGAGGCAAATTTTGAACAGTTTAAGGATTGAATTCATTGTCATGCTGAAGAATTCTGAAAAATGAAGCCGTTGTCAATCAGATACTTTCCAGATGGTATTGCACGATGGATCTTCTGACTGTAGTTTTCTGCGTTCATAATTACATCAATTTTTAAAAGACCTTTAACACCACCTGCTGAAACTGTTTCACAGATAGATGCAGACCCTCCCTGCCTCTCTCCTGACCTCCTTCATACAAACTGATATAGTCATCACTCAATAAGACCCATTGCCAAAGATTTTCAGTCCAGTTCTTGTGTAATGAGGCATGTTTGAGCATTTTCTCCTTGTTTCCTTCCCTTTAAAATGGCTTCTTGACAGTCACACTTTCACTGAGACCATCATCTGATTAACCTTAAGTGAACAGTCATGTCTTTACTGGATTGTTTCTTATTTCTTAAGTACATGACCTTCAGATATTGTTCAACTTCTGCTGTTTTTTTAGGCCTGCCACTTTTTCTTTTTAACTCCTGCCTTTAATCAGTTTCTTGAAATTTTTCAAGCACAACTGCGCACCATGAAGAGATATAGCAAGTGTTTGCCAAATAGTTCTTTGGGAATCACTTTGTTGGTGCAAAAGTATAATTTTATGTCCGTTAAATGTGGTTATCATTGGCACTTTTCACAGATTCAACTAAGCAAATGGGAACAACTTCTGTGTTTTTGCAATGGGCTGCTAGCAATAAGTGCCTAAAGATACAATTTTAGCTTTTTGGAGGCAAAATAAAAGGAAATTATGGGTTGACTGAGACTTTTATACAATACTGAAAGTAAAAAGGAGTAATAAATAACAGCAGGACTGGATGTGTCAGGAATCTGACAGTTCACCTTTGCAGCTGGACCCACTGGAGGATTACACCAGCCCTATCAGCAAACTGGAGCCCCAGAAATCGATGCCTGTTTCAGTATCAGTGAAGTGGACTGTATTCAAACCAACCAAGAGTAGTCTATTTCTTACATTCTTGTTAACATTGTGCAACATATTGTAGTACAACAATATAATGCTCTGAATATGAGACAGAGGAAGAGAGTGGGATATGTCTATAAGCACGAGGCTGTCGGGAGAGGCTGTTTTACTTCCTGTTCTGACGTCCACCATAACGTTTACGCCCCCGTGCCCCTGCCCTGCAGTGCCTGGTGGTACCCCGTGCCAGCGTCTCCTCTCTCAGAGGTCCGCGGTAAGGATTCAGCCACTATGTAAAATTCTAAATAAATGTTAAAACGCATTTGTTTTATTATTATTTTTAATACTTTTACAGAGTCGTGGCACCGCTCATGTGTCCCCCGCCCTCACTGGCTGTGCGTAAAGCTTTCGGGTCATATGCATATGGTTTGGGATGAGAGGATAGGGGCGCTGACAGCAGCGGCACAATAGCGACATCTAGTGGCTCACTGGAGGCAACTTTGAACTTTTAGAGTTTTTATGAATGTTTTGCTCATGTTTCAGTCAGGCTAAGATTTTTAGAAAATCCTTCTGTAGGGCTGCTTCGTTTTTCATCTATAAAAGCACGCAAATGCAGCGTGTGCGTGGAGTTTACTTGAGGTGGAAAAAATGAAGCCGACCGTGAGCGGCGCTGCAGATCCTTCTTCCACAGCACCGGCAGACAACAACGCAGGCAGGAGGAGGAGGCAGCACCGGGCTCCCTCGCCGGCTACAGCCCAGGAGGGGGCATTAAAGATTGTTCCCAGACACCCGGGCAGCTCCAGGCCTCCTGATCGTGCACGGAGAAGCGGGGATCTTGGGTTGAGGGACAGCCTGAGCACCGCAGACAGAAGGGAGAGGGAGCCCGAGAGCCGCGGAGGGGCAGCTGTTCACCCGGATGGTGCTGAAGCTGAGCTTGTCAGACCAAACAGGGCGGATGCTGTCGAGGAAGATCCGGCAGATTTCCCAGTACCGACTCTAGGCTCTGCCTTACCCCGCTTTAAAGGTGACTCCACACAGCCTTTGTTTTCCGGCAGAGCTTATTCGCTGAAAGAAAAGGAGAGGGAGCCAGCTGAGAGAAGCGGACACGGGAAGAGAACCGACGTGTCCGCGGCCTGTGGAGCGGGCCTCGGTTTGGGTCTGTGGAAAGGGCGATGCTTACAGGCTGAGCTGATTCACTTCCACCTGCAGAAGAGACTCAAGAGGAGGGGAGCCAAGATGCAAGCCAAAGCGGACAGCACTGGGACGTCGGAGACCGCCGTGGAAGAGCCGGAGCGGGCTGCAGAGGCGACAGAGGCGGGGTCCGTGACACAGCAGGACCAGGCCCTGGAGGAGGAGATGGAGAGGCTGCTGGAGGAAAACGAAGATCTCAAGGTTTGATAGACTTTAACAAAAACATTTTTTTAAATAAAATTAAAATACTTTAAAATACATAATCTCACCTAACCTGAATTGTAGGCCAATGCTAAAGAGGTGAAATCATATTAGAATGACACAATTCAGAAACGTCTTAATTGTCATGAAATGACAGATAGCATATGGGGTCGATTATGTTTGTAGGACAGGCTCTCTGTCTTCAGTGAAAACGCATTCGCTATTGTAACTGGATATCGATCCTGATGCTATTGATTAATACGGATCGATTATATCTTGTGTTTAGAAGGGACTACCCACAATGCCACAGCTGGAATTCATATGTTTGCAATGTTGCATTTATATATCCCTGAAATGAACTGTGGAGTAATAAAGATGATCAGACTCACATCTGGAAAATGATTTTTTTTCAGGTTGTATATTTTAACCTGAACCTGAAAATCTGTAATACATCTGGAGCTACTAGTCAGACTCTGAACCAATAAAATCTCCTGTTTTCGAAGTATATATACCTCCTGCTGTCAGTGTGACACATGTAGCAATCACATCTTCTGTCTGCTATGATTCTGCTAGTGTGAGATTGAAGAAATGAGGGCCGAGATGGATGAGATGCGAGACACTTTCTATGAAGAAGACACTTGCCAGCTCCAGGAAATGAGGCGTGAGCTAGAGAGAGCCAATAAAAACTGCAGAATCCTGCAGTATCGTCTGCGGAAGGCTGAGAGGAAGAGGCTGCGCTACGCCCAGACAGGAGAGATCGATGAAGAGTTGCTCAGGAGTCTGGAGCAGGACCTAAAGGTAGGGGAGTGGAGGAGATGACTCTGTGTGTTAAGGTTAATATGTTATGTATGGGAGGTTTTAATGTAGGCTAATACGAACCATCACGTTAGTTCAATTATTATGCATTTTACAGCTGCAAAAATCAAGTATAACAGATTATTAGTTATTTCTCCAAAACAGCAGGTTCAGGTTGTGATTATTACAGGTAGCAAAGGATGTGTCTGTGAGGCTCCACCATGAGCTGGAAAAAGTGGAGGAGAAACGCACTAAGACGGAGGAGGAGAACGAAAAGCTGAGACAGAAGCTCATAGAGGTGGAAGTGACCAAACAAGCCCTGCAGAATGAACTAGAAAAAACCAAAGAGGTGTGTAAATGCTTCCCCACATCCATCACCATACATCAGAGGAGCATTAAATGTAATGTGTCATAAATGTCCACATATATGAATATTAAATGATCGACCAGCAACTTCATTAGGTAATACCTGAGTTGAACTTCAGCAGGTCGCATTGATCATTCACTGAGTTACTCCCACGTGATTGGCTGAACAGATATTTGCTTTAATCAGCAGTTGAGTGGGTATACTTAACAAAGTGGCCAGTAAGTGTACGCATACAAGTATACTCATACATACATTAAGAAGTCATAATTTAATTTCAATTGCAATGTCCTCTTATAGTCTCAAAAGAGAAGAGGAAGCAAGGACGTCCAGAAGAGTGACAAGAAAGCAGCACAGACTCCCACCGAGGTGAGATGCTGTTATGATTAAAAATAATTATTTTATTTTGTGTATATTTATACATTTTTGGCATAAATGCTTACCTTGCCTAAACTGATGCAGATAATTGTTAGGAGGTAGTTCTCTTAGGAAAACGTGCAGTCTCATGTGAACTGATGTGTGAATATTTAGTCCTGAATCAGCTATTTTTAAACATGCACTTCAGCCTGGAGACAGCCTGCCCATGTATTGAGCAGTCAGGCCAAAGAATAAACAGCTTTTACTCTGCAAACTCTCAGGGTCCAACCTGAGATTTTGCGTATGAGCTTCTGTGATATCCTGTTGTGTCAAATGTTTGGCTTTTCACTTCCAGCTACAAAGTTTTAGTGAAAGCTGAGGGTTTGCAGAGCTGGAGCAATTTTGTTAGACTTATTACATGCCAAGAATCCGCTGAGTCCGACGAGAGATAACTGTCTGGCTCAGAAAGACTGTGGCTAAAAAATCTGCTCTTCACTTTAATCTTAAGTCTTAGGTCTCAATGCAGAAACCAGCCTTCTTAACAATTTAACAAATTCAATGCACTTGAGTGTATACAGTTTGTGTTTTAGGAGGACAATGAGGACCTGAAGTGCCAACTAGCTTTCATCAAAGAGGAGGCTGTGCTTATGAGGAAGAAAACAGCCAAGATTGACAAGGAGAAGGACCGGCTAGAGCAAGAGCTGCAGAAATACCGTTCGTTCTATGGAGAACTTGACAGTACCCACCCAAAAGGGGAGGCTGGGGGGCCACCCACCACGCGTGAGTCAGAGCTGAAGCTACGCCTTCGGCTGGTGGAGGAGGAAGCCAACATCCTCGGGAGAAAGATAGTTGAGTTAGAGGTAAGAACAGACTGTGTGAAATTTCTGAATGAAAGATCATGTGATTTTTGCACCCATCTCCCTTTTTCCTTACAGGTTGAGAACCGTGGCTTGAGGGCTGAGCTTGATGACCTCCGTGGAGAAGGAGAGAGCGGTGGAGGCTCGGGTTGTGGAGCGACGGGTGGGCCGGGCGCAGGCCGAGGCCTGGGGGATGATCTGACAGAGCTCAGACAACAGCTACAGCTGGTGGAGGACGAGGCAGAGCTCCTGAGGAGAAACCTGGCTGATGCTGAGGAACAGAACAAGAGGGTGACAGCTGAGCTGAACAAGTTACGCTTTAAAGCTGGCACTCATGAAGGAGGTGCCAGGCATGGAGGAGGAGGAGGAGTTACAGGAGGAGCAGGCCTTGATGGAGCAAAGGCAGAAGCCCTCCAGGAGGAGCTGAAAGTTGCAAGACTGCAGATTAATGATCTAAGTGGCAAGGTAAGAAAGGCGTTAAACACTGACATAATATAAGATGCTGATCTATGTAATTCATTTAATGCTTTTATAATTAGTGTAAATATATGCATTTAGGTATTAATTAGTAACTCATTCCCAAGACTGACAGTCCACAAACACAATTCCCTAACAGTATGTGGTTCCAAATACGTGTGTTGCCATCGGGGAAGGTACTCTAAGAGTACCCTCTCATCTCTTCTTTCCTCTCTTTTTTAGCTTTCATTTATTGGCTACTATAAATATTGATGCTGATAGATCTGCAAACATTTAAAATCAGTCGATAGTATCAGCCTGCTTGGTAAATCAGTTGGGTTTTTGTTATGATCTGCAGCAGCAGATTTTGTGGAGCAGAGAGTGAGGACCTATTTGCAGACAATGTAAGCAGGAACAGAACTATAACAAAAGGCGAGCAGATTATTCGGGCTGATTGGCAAAACAGTACAAAATAAGGAAACTGAACTGAAATCTAAACTGGGAAAGACACTAGAACATGGGAAGCACTGGAAACATAAGCTGTGTCTCAATTTAGGGGCTACTTTAGCTGCGCTCCTAATCCATTGCCGCACATGAAAACTATTTTTATATTATTATAAAAATATTTGAAATACTAATTTAATTAATACAGTATTGCAAAGAGTAATAAAAATAATATTACAACAAAGTATCTGTCGCCATTGTTGGAAACTGGAATTGGCTGGGCCGCGCTATGAATTCTGGGATAGGTTGGGCCACGAAGGATAGTCCCGACCTATCCTTCAAATTCAGGGAAATGAACGACGCATTTGTCGGCCGCATTTGGAGCAGCTTTCGAATTGGGACAGCCTTCATTGCATTGCTGTGACGTAATTGGCCTTCAAATGCGGCCTCCGAAGGATGCAGCCCCTGAATTGAGACTCAGCCATAGAACCTGAGAGACACGGGGGAAGACAGACAGACACTCAGACAAAGGACTGAGACAATACGTACACTGAGAGGTGATCAGGGAAGTGGAAACACATGGGAACACAGCAGGAACAAATTAGACATAACGAGATAGGGAAAGCAAAACTGACACAATGAACATGAGACAAGGACTATCGAAATAAGACAGGAAGTAGCACGAACACAAAAACTCAAGAGACTCAAGACATACAGAGAGATGTAGGGTGAGAGATACAGAGCGAGGGAAAGAAAAGACAGTTTTACATGCACCTTTCACAGTTCTGCATAATTTTAAGTGGGTAAAATAACTGAACAGTTTTTACAACAGGGGGAAATTGCCCATAAAGTCCCAAATCATTTTTTGTACCAGGGTGTAACATGTTCGATCCTGCTGCAAAGCCTGGTATTTTAACATTGCAGCCTATGAGGATTGACTTGCTTTTGGAACCAGCCTGCAATTTATAGTTTTATCTGTCCACCCCAGAGGTCACTGCTTCGCCAAAACATCTTAAAACAGTTCTCATCTCTCTCCGCCTCTTCCCATCAGGTTATGCAGCTGCAGTATGAGAACCGAGTGCTCCTCTCCAACATGCAACGCTACGATCTGGCTTCTCATCTCTCCCTGCGGCCGAGCCCACGGGACAGCGATGCAGAGAGCGATGCTGGTGGCACGACGAGTGGTCGCCGAGAGAGCGACGAGGACTCCACCTCATCCCGCCTGCTCCCTCCTCACCGCAAACGCGAGGGTCCTGTTGGTGGGGAAAGTGACTCAGATGAGGTGAGAAACAATAACGGCAGCAGTCGCTGCTTGACGCCCACCCGGGGCCTCTACACCCCTACTGGGCCAGAGGGCGCCGCCTCCTCCGCCTTATCCCGCTTCCTGCCTGGTGGCCGGTGCACCCTGCGTGAGCGGCAGCAGATGATAGACATCCGCGTGGAAGCAGAGAGGCTCGTTCGCACCATTGATAGGCTCATCGCCGATACTGCGGCCATCATCTCGGAGGCGAGGGTCTACGTTTCAAATGGCGACTTAATGTTCGGGAGGTCCGGCGAGGAGGGTGGGGAAGAGGATGGGAGCAGAATCAGGGAACATGAGCTGCTATATCGCATTAACGCCCAGATGAAAGCCTTTCGTAAGGAACTGCAGGCCTTCATAGACAGACTGGAAGTGCCGAAGCTAGAGGACAGGGAGTCAGAGGAGCCGCTGTCGGTGAGAATAGAACTGAAATATGTCATGTGAGCACGTAAAATATCCTCGAGAGTTAACTGTATTTCTTCCTTTTTCTCTCTTTATCCATACTCCTGTGTTTCTCATCTGTCGGTTTGCCGCTCCTCCCTCTCCCAGATGTTCCAGCCAATCATTTTACTCATCCTCATACTCGTGTTATTCTCATCCCTCTCTTACGCCACCATCTTCAAGCTCGTCTTTCTTTTCACTCTTTTCTTTGTTCTGTGATGCACACCTCCCTTTAACACACGTCATCCTTTGGTTTGTTTTCCCTCCGTTGATTTTTTTTCTTTCCATCCCCGCATCATTTGTTGCCAAGGTAACCGACAGCACAGTAAAAGCTCAGCACTTACCGAGGTTGCACTCACATTGGAGGAAGTGTGGCCAGCTTCAGCACTGGAATCTGCATTATCATCACGCATCGCCATCTGCATAAGGTGCTCAAGACGGTAAGTTACAGACAGGTTACACATTGCAGATAGCGAGTGGAACTCTAACATAATAATGCTTAATTTTAAGCCTTAGTGATGTTTAAACGGTTAAATTGCAAAAATAATAATAATAATAATTCACACCCCCAAGTTGTCATAAATAGGAAAATTTGTCTTACAGAGAACAAAATTTTTTCAACTGGATTGTAAAAATGTCTATTTCTGCTAAATGCAATTAAGCATTTTAATGAAGCGGACAGTGGGAATGTAGTTTTTGTAACAGTCTCAGATGGCCATCTGAGGAGCTGCAACTCCTCGTAGGCTTCATTTGTAAGCACTGGAAGTGTCCACGGGGTTAAAAACAGCCACCTCAGAGACTTATTGTAGTACAAACTTGCAGCACGACAGACATCATCAAAGAGTCCAGTTATATAATATGTCCTGTGTGTGTTTGTGTGTGTGGACATTTTAAGATGTGTGCCTGTTTGAATCATAATAATAAATAGTCCAGTTTTTTTGTAGTTCATTCCTCACTGTGCGGGTAATAGCTGTGGATTTAAAGCCAACGGAGATATTTTGGCATATTTGTGCAGAACTTGTTTAAGCCAAAATGAAAGTGTGGTCATATAGGTTTTATTCTGACTGGATGCAATCTGAACCACTTAGTGCTACTTAGTACATTAGCTGTTGTAACAGGTCATGACGGCAGCGACATCTTCTTTAATTTGCTTGCTGTGCCGTCCTGCTGTTGTTGTCGCCTCAAAGTAAAGTAAGGTGAAAGTTTGTTTCTGTCCATCCCCTGAATTCCTGAAGGGCTTAATTATTCATTTGGGAACACAACAGGTGGAAGACTAAGGCTGATTTCACACTGGAAGGAATTCTGATCATCACCATAAGAAGGGGTCAAGGACCCCAAAATTCCCAACAGGGTCTTGATTAGGGGTTGCTATTAGTAATTGATGGCATGGCAGATGAACAGTAGCAACTGTCTTCAGATGTTCACCGCAGCAGAATGAGTCACAGCTTTAGGTTACTCCAGGACATGGGATGAGAGTGTGCATATTTTACTTCTTTGCACCATTTGAAGCATAAATAATGTGATACCTCTACTGAGTGTGTGGCTTGATTGTTAGTTTGAAGTATTTTATATATATATATATTAAAGCTTTAAATATTAAATCTCTACAAATTAGATGTAAATGATGTATTATTATTATTATTATTATTATTATTATTATTGTTTGTGTGTTGTTGTTGTGTTTTTGTGACTGTCTCCAATAAAGATATTACTCCGTGTGACACATTATTACTCACAGTGTCACACGCACTCATTTGGCATCCCTTGGAAAGATGATTTGCAAGCTGGGCACGGTCACAAGGCAAAATCTGCCCAAGCGTCCGAAAGCAGAGTAGCAACAGAGAAGCTGATTGGTCGAGAGACCGCAGCAGCTGAAATAGCTATGTAAACACTTTCCCCTCTCTCCGCGAGCCCCGGTAATTATAGCAGGGATGCTGGTGACGACAGTTTGTCCCATCGAGACTTCAAATGCTGGAATAAGTTTGACATTATGATATTTGACCTCCGCCCCACGTAAACACCCGGGAGCGGTATAAAGTGTGGGTACCCCGGCTGGAACAGAAGTTGTTTACCCTTTAGCTCAACGCTCCCCGAGGAGGAGGACAAGGGGATCCTTTAAATTCAACCCCCGAGGTTTTTTTTTTTTTTTTTACGTAATACAGTGGAGGCAAAAGCGAGGGGGACGCAGCGGAGAGAGGGCAGTTGAAAATAATTGGCGAGCAGGAACGGTTGAAAGGACCGAAGAGACCAGGGACTAGACTGAGAAGTTACACCCGAGGGCAGATATAACTTTTACGTAGAGGTAGGTAAGAAAAGCTGTAAATTACTAAAGTGGAAAACTTTTTTATTTTATTTTATTTAGTTTTAATTATCAACATATACAAAATGAAAATTGAAAAAAATAATAACATGATTTTTTTGTTTTCTTTAAAGATTTATTCTGAGTCATGTTCAGTTTGATCATTTTTCTTTTTGGCTTAGTGTCGGGCATACTTTCTGTTCCCCTGTGCCTCTCCCCTGTCCACAGGACGTGCAGTCACTTTACTATGCATAGTTACAAGATTATTAATATCTCTACTCTTACATCACAGATGGGAGGGAAGTGGCTGGTAAATTCGGGCATTTTCTACCAGGATACTTGTAATATTGAGTGGCGGCATCATCAACAACAACAACATCAGAGAAACCTTGCTGTCTCAGTTTACCACAGCAGTTAGGCTCTTGCTCTTGGCTGGTTTTAGGGAACTGGCTCGCCGTCTTGGATGCATCTGAGGTGTTCCGCAGTTTAATCTCCAGGAGGACGATTTTAATGTTGAGCCCCACTTAAGAAGCACTGAGCTCAAGTAGGATTTTAAGTGGTTCTTTAAAGGTCAGATGCAGAAGAGATAATGATTTTTTTAAACCTTCTTACTAATAGACTCTGTCACAGTTTTGCGATTTTTGTACATTTATGTTTTTTTTAAATTAGCAAATCTTATTGTAATGATTATCAGTATAAACATGATAGGTGGGTGTAGGATATAGGGTGGATAGAGCAAAATGCCTAACAGGTGACATCATGTGTGCACATGGGCACTCTGATTCATGCGTGAAATGTTTTTTCTTTGAAATGCCGGGTCAGGCTGGAGGTCAAACTGACCAAGAGTTGAAACAGATGGCTGTGGCACTGTCGTGTAATAGTTTTGTCTACACGTGCTGCATTGGTAGTTCTAACATGCCTGCAATTATTGGTGAAGAATTCCAAAAGCTGCTGTAAATATCTGACCTTCCTGAGGATAGAAGTATTCAAGCCAAACCCAGATGAAAAAGCCTTGACTGAAAAAGTAGAAATGGGTTGATCAGCCTTTTGATTTCAGTGTCAGAAACTCCATAACATGGGCTACTTTATATAGAAATACATTGAAACACATTGAAATTAATCAACAACGTTTGTTGTCTGTCTTCTATTTCTTTGACTTTTTAGTGTTTCCAGGCCATTAATCCTTCTGCCCCTTGCTTGCAACCCTTTGGTGACCTTTGACCGAAAAGTGAAAGGGGGGAAGTCATTTGAAAGAGTGTCTGGCTATTAAGCAGCCTGTCATGGCAGCTATAGATCTGGAGCGAGGGCTTGAGCACAGTGGTTGTGGCTGGGGGCAAGAGAGACCAGAGCTGATGGACAACTTCGACTCGGAGATGCAGGAGTGGGAGGACCAGCTGCAGGACATCCAGAGGAAAATCGAAGAGGTGAGACGTTACATAAACAATGCAGGACTTTTAAATGTACAGACTGTATATAAAATATGGCAGTGGCCACTGTGATGTCACCCGTTAGCTTGTGGACATGCATTTTGAAACCTCAGCTTTAGTATTGTGATCATCGCTGTATTTTTGTGGAGCCAAACTGACCTTTGGCGTCACTAACCATGCTTGCTAGCATTACCAAGGTGCATTAATGAATAATGAAAGGCAAATTTGGACATTTCATGTAACTGGTGGGTTGTACTGGGATCGTGTGCAGTTTTCTTGAAGGTGCATGTCAGCTTTTGATAAAACATATTTATTTTTGCTCTACAGTTGTGCAGTTCAACATGGGTCTATGGCAGGGGTGTCAAACTCCAGGCCTCGAGGGCCGGTGTCCTGCAGGTTTTAGATCTCACCCAGGGTCAACACACCTGAATCAAATGATTAGTTCATTAACAGGCTTCTGGAGAACTTCAAGACACGTTGAGGAGGTAATTTAGCCATTTAAATCAGCTGTCTTGGATCAAGGACACATCTAAAACCTGCAGGACACCGGCCCTCGAGGCCTGGAGTTCGACACCTGTGGTCTATGGGGATTAACGTTTGGTCGCAGCCTCAAGTGGTCATTTGAGGAACTGCACCAATCTCAGGTTAAATTTAGCCAAAATTGATCCGTAATCACACATTGCATCAGCACAAACAGTCGATGTATCTACGCAGTGTTAACTGAATAGATACGTGCAGATTTCTACAGACTCTGGGACAGTGGGTGTAAATTGTACTTACTAATACTACAACCTACCGGTGTGGAAGTGCAAAAGTAAAATTCAGTAGATTGATTTTGTGATAAATGATGGTCTCGATGTTTAATTTAAAGTGGAGTTATTTTGTTTTTGTTGTTGTTTTTTCTTCCCAGAAAGATGTATCAGTTATCTCTCAACATGACCACGTGTGGTACATGTTGTGTTTTCAGTGAGGAGCTTTTGTGGCCCCTAGAGTGTGTGTTAATTGGAGTAACATGTGTGTTTGTGCTCCATAATAAACTGTTGGCAGCACACAAACTGACACAACCTCTTGGCTTTGTTGGAGCAGTGATGCAGACAAATGTTAACAAGCTGATTAAACTGTGATGTGCTGACAGATATGTTGGACACACACACACACTGTCTGAAAAAGGATACCAAAGTATTGCACATTACAAAGATGCAAATTGAAACAGGTGCATGTGTGTAATGGTATTATGAGCTTGTCAGAAATCTAAGTTAGATTTTAAAGTAGTTTTGTAATCATTAACATCGCTGCTTTCCAGCTGTACAATGAAGTTCAGGCCCGCAGAGGAGCAAACGATATCGCCGCTGACAACCAGAAAAATGGTACCCCATTGGAGTGTGGCCTGGGTCACCATGGCAATGGCCTTTTTGTGCCTGACCATCACAGAGAGAGCCACACTAGAGCTATAACTGTGCCACATCACTATAGTAACGGCTGCAGCTCCAGTGGGTACAGCTACCCTGTGACTCAT